TATAGCATATAACTGCCATTCGAATTAACCGATCAAAATCACGATTGAGATGTTTTTATACCCTTTATGCTATAAAAAATGTACCTGTGTAGCTTTGGCTCAGCTGAATTGAATTGAATGAATATTTTTTCTTGTTTATTAGAAATATTGAACGACAGTTACGAATCTCGCCAATCACTTATTTTTTGGCAGGATTTCAATCTAACCGTTCTAATTGCTAAACAGCAAACCTACCCGATCCACTCAACTGTCAAAGTCAAAATCGGTTAGGTGAATTGCGCTCTTTAAGTTCAAGTGCCAGTAAAGTTGGCCATTTCCTTATTTCTACTTTGCATTTTCCGAGTTTCCGATGAATTACTCCTTTTTTCTTTAATTCAATTTAATTGCAAAAATTATTACTTGCAAATAAAAGTCTCGGCCTATTATTTCACACAGGAATCAGCAGTTTTTACTCGTATTCTTGAAATTTACTTAAGGTGTTTGCAGTAACATTAAAAATAAAACAGCTGTTGCGTGAAATATGTAAAAATGAGAGTATATATATGTGAGAAGAGTATTTGAGAAGAAAACAAAATAAAAATCTGCACAATAAAACAGTTTAAAAGAAATCTACTACATATCAACTCCAGCCATGAAGTAGCTATGTTTACAAACACATCAATGTCAATAAAACAAAAGACACAAGAAAAAATTAAAAAAAAAAAGTTGCGGAAGTGGCAGCCGCAGTTGCAGCAGCTGTCAAGTCTGTATACAAAATATTTAAATATCGTCGGACCTATAAGCGTTTCAGATAGCTAACGTTAACAAAAAATATGCAAAGGAAAGCAAAGCAAAGATAATGAAAGTTAAATGCAACAGAAATGACAGTTGCACCTGCGACATGGAGAACAGCTGTGAAGCTCACCAAATTGCAGCTGTTTTTCTCCATGCGTACTCTTTATACTTAAGGCTAAGTTAATAGCAACATTCACTTATATAAATCGATAATAAAATCAGTAAAAAAGAAAATGTACCAAAACAAAAAGTAAGGAAGGGCTAAGTTCGGGTGTAACCGAACATTTCATACTCTTGCAATCAGCAATATCAAAGCCGGCGAAATACCTTCAGGTGTTGCCAAAACTATTTAGCGAAAGGGTTCAGCTTCATTGTTATTATTATTATTAATTTATATTGAAGGTCATGTACTCACTTAGTTTTATTAATATATTTTAATTATGTCAACGAAATTTATATTAAAATCGTCCTTAAATGAAAACAAGGAAAAAACGTTAACTTCGGTTGCACCGAAGCAATAATACCCTTCACAAATACAAAGGCTCTTTACAAGAACTTGATTCCGATCGTTCAGTTAATATGGCAGCAATATGCTATAGTCATCCGATCTATACAATTTCTTCGGATATAGAATTATTGTCTTAAATAATATTCCATGCCAAGATCGTGAAGATACCTCGTCAAATGAAAGAGTTTTCCATACAAGCACTTGATTCCAATCGTTCAGTTTGTATGACAGCTATATGCAAATTCGTCCATTTAATTTCATTAAAATATCATACATTTCACAAAACCTCTCAGAAATCATTAATATGCTGTATTGGGGGCAGAGAGACATTGCTCATTGCTTGAGAACATAATTTCAAGCAATTTTATTAATATATAACTCACACACTGAACGACATATCGTCATAAAGCTTGTTAGAAAAACGAAAATCATTATAGTATATGGGAGTAGGCGTAATTTGTATATATGGTATAAGGGCAACCGAAATTTTGAAAATTGTATATTAGATCTATGGGGTCTAGGGGATGTATTGACCCGATTTGATCTATTTTTGGCAATACCACATACTATAACATGCCGCATACTAATAATATGCTCACTGAGTTTTATTAAGTACTCCTACCTTCACCAATATGCATACATGGAGTAAAGTCAGTCAGGGGGTTAGTTTTCACTTATTAGCCGATATATGCGGTATAAAGTAAATCAGAAGTTCGAAAAATGTTGTATTATGCGGCTAAGAGAATCTTTCATCCGATTCCACCCATTTTTGCTCCAAAATTCAAGAACATATCTTACAGATTTCGATAAAATGTTCGATTTAGGAACTGGGATTCACGTATTCGGTATCTGGGGGATTTAACAGTTGTGGGCCGATTTTAACGATTTTTGGTATTGAGGTGACCTACTTTAAAGTTTTATCCCGACATATTCATCGCTGCTTGATTTGTATGGGAAGTTGAAAGAATCAGATGGAACTTAAAATTTTGTTATGTGGGAAGAAGGTGTAGTTGTAGTCCGATTTCGCCAATTTTCGCACTGGAATATCGGAATGTCAATTGAATAATATTACGTACCAAATTTGGTCGATATCGGTCGAGCAGGTACTGAGTTATGGATTTTCATCTAAATGTGAGCGGTGCCACGCCCATCGTATTATTTTGAGCCCGGCTCCTATAAAGCCCTCTCGTACCATCTCGAATGTAAAATGTCTTTAGTGTATTAAGTTTTAATTTTTTGCGCTTTAACTAGTCTTTAACAGTACCGTTAAATGGGGAGTGGGCGGGGATATTATCAGATTACATCCATTTTTACAGTGTCTGTATAGGTTTTAAAAGGATTTGTCCTCAGCGAATTTGGTTATATTATCTTGAATGGTTTGGAAGATATGTATGTACATTAAACTTATTACAACAAATACATACATACCTCCATTAAACTTAAATCATAAATAAAAAGTTTGCTCAGCTTGCACGGACGGACAGACACCTACCCGGATTTCAACTCGTTTCATCATCAACTTGATCATTTATATATATATAACCGTATATCTAACTCGACTAGTTTTAGGTGATACAAACAACCGTTAGGTGAACAAAACTATCATACTCTGTAGCAACATATAATAATCGCAAGAGTATAATAATCGAAAAATGTGTTCCCTTGTAATTAAAATGTCATTGACTTTTGATTGTTGATAGGGTTTGTTTTGACGTATTTATATATATTGTTTATTGAAATAAGAGAGCATTTTTATCAGCATACTGGAAAAGTTCAAATACAGCACGACTTGAGAATAATAGTCAGCAAGCAAGTCATTGGGCATCCACTATCATTGCCCTAAGCATGACTTTGCATAATTTTCATCTGGCTACAGACAAAATCAAAAAAAACAAAATAACTTAGCTTACGCAAGTGTTGCAAATATTTTATTTATTTATTGGGGCTAGAAATGCATAACGGCATTCTTTATATAAATAAATACATTTTTACTGCGGCTAACGCAATATTATACACTTGGCCATTCAACTCGGTGCAGATGTTGATAAGAAATGTATAACATTATTAAACAACACAATTGGACTAGAACATATATAACATGGTAATCAGCGGATTCGAAACCTATATTTATTTTTAAATGAAAATATTTGCAACAAATGCTCATGATTCACCATAATAGAATTTTTTTCATCTGGGTATAATTAACAAATTAATTTGTATTAGTTCCCCATGCACAAACATATATTATGTAAGAGCGTACGTAGCTGTGTATTATTGAAAAATTTGGTCATTGAGAATTTTGTGCGCAGCAAGCATTAGTAACTAGAAATTTCAAATAAATGTTTAAAGAAGCGGGCCGGTTAAGCTACTTCGCCCACTTTTCACTCCACCAAACAGCGGAAAACGCGTGATCATTTCTTGAATGCTCATACAATATGTATATGTATACACTCACTTTTCATTTAAGTATGTATTTATTTTCGTTTAAAATATTTTAGCAATTTTACTATTTGCACACAGCGCAGTACCGTCGAGTGCTGCTATTACTCGGTATTCTATCCAAAATAAATACTCGACAATGTCGCTGTTTTCAACAGAATAAAGCTACCAATGTTGATACGAGTTAAACTAAAATTAATGATTATTTATTTTTTTTTAATCCTGTGTAATGGAATGCAAATGTAAATTTTATTTGTTGATAAACAAAATTAAAACAGATCGATTTTTAGTGATAGGTGGGTGATGTGGGCTATTCAGCAAATATTTTCCTTTTTAAAGTATGTGTACATGCATATCTATTGGGGCCAATATGCATGCAAACAGGAAGTAATTATTTACGTTTCTATCATTTGCAAGAGAATCTGTATAAATGTATATGGACATCATTGGAGACCACAAGAAACGCCTACAAATATTTGCCCTTACCCACAAGGAAATTTTTACAAGAATAACTAACAGAAAAGCTGTATTATACATACACACATAATAGTTTCTACCGACCTTTGTATAAGATTATATTTGCCCATACAAAAAATGTATTTGGTATCTTTTACTATCCACGTACATATGTTAAGTATTTTGTTCACGTAAAACAATATTATGAATGTAAAAGTACAAATATATAACACATAGATTAAATTTATGTATAAATGTCACAGACAACCATAGCAACAAACCATATTCCATCGCTAAAGGCACATACTTTTTCTTTCTTTAAATAAAAGCCACGAGCCACACAATAACTCGACAACAACAGCAACGAAATGCGAAATTCTTTATGTAGATATGTAGGTAAATATCTGGCGGTTGTGAACACTTTAAAACATGTTAATTTCAGTAGCTACACTTAGATTAAATTATTGCGTGTACTCATATATGCATTAGAAAAATATCTAATAGTGACAAAAATACCTAGTACTGTACATGGACTAAGTACATGTGCATATATTGTACAGCCTACTTTAATTTTAAAATATTAAATTTTTCAAATAACTCAACTCAAACATTTATAAATCAAAAATATGCTCGGAAAGCGAATAATATTCTTCCTATTTTCGATGACAGAATCGGTTCATGGGAAACTTTCTGCTAATAATGCACCTCTGCCCAACTTGAGGTCAGCTAGAGAAAATAATATATATACATGACAAGGCGTAGCCAAGGCGAAATACTAATTTGCATGCAATTTGTACAACACTTCCCTGTATATGGTACATACCTCTTCCTGGCGAGCTTCCACTTTTGTATGATGAATATCTGCTTGATTTTGCGGCTGCCGTCTGACAAATTCACAGCCAACCAACTGTGCATTCACACCCCTTTTTATTATAATTTAATTTTAATTAATAATATTTTTTTGTATGTATAGTGGCGTTTCAAAGCGACATCGCCAACAGTGCCAACGCCGCCATAAGTGGGTACCACACAGTCTCCTTAAGCAATTTGTCACTAATTTTATTGTAATTGCTACTTTCTTGCTAAGCCAGAACGCTTGGCTTTCTATTTGCCACAGAGAATATTCAAAATATCTATCACAAGATTTCTACAATTATGCACCCTTTCTTGCCTGCTTCACAATCTCAACACTCGCCATATATGCACAAATTTGTAAGTTTTACTTTTATTAAAACTGAAAACACATTAAATTTGTATTTTTATTTATTTAATATTATGAATTTTCTTTAATAAATTGTGTATCTCAATTAAACAATTTCTTTCTTTCGTTTGTATGATTTTATTAAACACTTCAATTGCTTTAATATTTACAAATGTATACAAATTTTTGGAAATCGACTGAAGTGAAAATTTAAAGCGTGAAAAACGATGCACAATGGCCAAAGGTAAAGCAACTACAACGGCGTCAACGGGAGAACTCGAACGTCCGCTTATTTACTTAGCCAATTGGTTTTGGACCGTCTGATTTTTCCCACTTGCACTAAACAATTGAAAATGCTGGCAGCGAAAATCGAATGAAAAACCAACGGCTTCAAAGCAGAGGCGGCGAAGCTACGGCAAAAATATAAAATAATAACAAAGGGAAATAGCAATGACAGAAAAAGCGAACGGGCATAGAAAGGAAAAAACAATAAGCAGCACTGCCAGATGCAAGGTATGTGATATGGGAACAAAACATTCTCTACATTTTGAAACAGAACTGTCGTTTGCCATTTTTCGAAGAAACTGTTCTCAATTGAGCTGTAAAACGTGTTTTGTGAATTGTACTTATATGAAAGGCTTATAACAGCCTCGTTGTAATTAATTATTTTCAATTAGAGTTCTTTTCGAACTGTAACGTTCATCGCAGGTTTATTGTTATTATTTTTATTGAAAACATTCGAGAAACAGCTGGCAAGGACAAGACCTCCGCAAAAAAAATACTTCTGATTTCCGCTGCCGTTCTTGGTCATCATCTTTGCTTATACATATATATATATATATAATTTTGTATATTATGTACTTTTTGTTTATGAAATACATTGTTTAAATATTTAATTATTTATAAACAATGAAAGAAGATTGAAATTTTTTATTTTTCAGTTTCTTTGAAAACGAATGGAAATACGAATAGAAACTGTCAAGCAGCCATATTGTATGTCAATCGGCCATCTTTAATAATTTTTAAATTGCGAAAGGTTAGTTTTGAGCGAAATTCTACTTTGATACTACTAGCTAATGGAGCAATTAATAACTCACATAAATAAACCGTAGTTATTTTGAAATATCTGTAAAGATATGTAGAATATTGGTAACAACAAGTGCTTAGAATAATTGCTATAGGACCTACTCTACATAAATTTTATTTTGCAGTTTCGTTGTACTTACATACTTATATGTGCATTCATTCATTTATTCATTCATTCATTCATTTATGGCGCTGAAGCTGCAACTGTTGAACATTCTTTTGACTGCGGCAATGAACAACTTACCATTTCCATTATACAAAGTTAAGTAAACATTTTGTTTTGTTAGTTAAGTTTAGTTTATTTGTATATATTGTATGTATAACTTGCATTATGTAAGTACAATTAATTATGTATATATAATTTATCATCATTATACCATTGTTATCATTTCTTATATGGCTTCAACTCATCCGCTTTTCTCGACAATTGGTTTTACAGTTTATTGTGTTTCGACTTGAGTTAATAGTTATCGATACATGCAAAGTATGAATAGTCGGCGTTCTTTTGCAGTATTGCAGGAATGTAAAAATATGAAATTATTATTGTTTTTACGCGTGAAGTGAATGAAAAAATATTTAAGTAAAGTAAAGATTTGTCGCAAGTATTGTAAGTAATTTTCATTTCTTTTGGTGTTAGCTGTCATTATGTAAAGCTGTTAAAAATATATTATCGATTTGCTAGATTTTATTTATATTTTCTGTTCAACCACGTCCTGCAGCTGTTGTTACCTACATATTTATGTATGTGTTTGTAACGCTCACTATTTCTAACAAATATGCAACAATGTTAAACGGCTTCTTGTCATTATCTATTTATTTACAAAATGCAATTTACTCCCCTGTACGTCCATAATGCAGACATCCATTATTGATATATATTTCTTTTATTTTTATGTATTGTATAATTATTTTGCTTCATGTGAAGTTTTTTAAATACCTTTTCAAAATTCACAGTTATTCAATCGACTATTAATGTTTCTTAGACCTTTATTATTATACAATAGTTCTTTTATTTGTTATCTCGTAGTAGCATTTCTTTATTGGCAAGAGTTGATAAAAGTGGAAATTTGCAATTGAGTGTTTGTAGTGAGTTGTAAATACTTTGTGTAGTTTGCATATGTATATATATATTTTAATATAATTAACTGATAATTTTTGCGTTCTCCTTAAAATTTGCATGTTAGTTTTAAAATCAATTTTTGTTGAATTTAATTGTAAATCTTAATTGTTGTACACCACCGCCACTTTTGTTGGTATATTTGGATTTTTTTTTAACGTGTGTGTGTTTGTATATACATATGTATGTATGTATATGCAAATGTTAGTGGGTATGCGATTGTGTACATGTGTAGGGGAATTCAGTCAATCTTAGTTTGGTTTGGTTTTTCAAAATAATTGAAAATTGTTGTTAATTGTTCAGTTTTTGCAATATATACATATGTATGTATGTACATTGACGTTGGCGCCATAATAATTTACTATTTACATACAAACAGTATACTTCTTAATATGAAAAAAAACGCAAATAATAATTATATTCATAGAAAAGGGAGCAAAATAGTTGCACATTAATGCTACTGTTGATATACATAAATACATACATATAATAAAATCATGTACACACAAGTGTACATCTGATTAATTTACATTATTACGCATAATTGCTATATTTATACATATGCAATTATGTGTTTACAATTTATTTTGTTTTGCAATTATAATTTTTAATATTCAATTGTTAATGTGTAGAGGCCAATTGTAATGTTATATGTATATATATGTATAAATTGACACAGATATATGTATGTAAATTTCTTAGTAATTGATCACAAAATTTTATACAGAAAATTAGTTACAAAATTTTGCAACAAAATATGCATATGTATATGTATAACAACTCAAATTCGTTCTACGAAAAAATCTTAAAAATGCAATTTGACTTCATGCATTTGATTTAATTAATAAATTGTCAAAATAGTTTAAAATATTTATATGATATTGTTTTACAATACATCCACATTTAATTAATTTTATTTGATTTGTATAAATATATATAGTTATTAATATATAAATTAGTATATACTATATGTAATATATAATATATATGTATGTATATGTATTTATCTGTACTTGCAGAAATTAAATTCTTGAGGCCATTAATTGTTTAGCTGCTAAACTCAATTTGCTCTTCGCCAACTTGTTTGCTTGCAATTGCAATATTTTATTGTTATTGTTGTTATTATTATATAATTTACATTGGTAAGTACACACACACATACAATTAAAATGTATATTCAAATGTTAGCCAATTATAGCCAGAAAATGAGCAACATTTTGCCATTCAAGTTACACAATCGATAGGAATGTCTCATCTCTATGCTAAGCATGTCCAAAGTCATTATCGATTGCATGCAACTCTTTTCAAAACTTTTGAAGCTCACTAAAGCTGCTTTTGTAGGGCCGGCCATATTTCTATATATGTATACATAATATATCATTTTTATTTTATATATATATATTTTTTTTTTGTTTAGGAATGTAATAAATTTAATGATTGATATTATGAAAATATATATGCATATTTATGTTGTTTTTTATGTGTTGCGTATATTTGTTTTAATTTATTTACATAATACTCAGCATAAGTGTGCTGCATGCTTTTTTATACAATAATTATGAGTTTTTTTACAGTAATTATTCTTTTTTTCTTGTTCCATTAGTTTTTTATACACTGTTATAGCTGCTTAAATGAAGGCGGTTTAAAAGTTGTTCTTTTTAAATAAATGAGTTTAGAAGCATGGTACAATTTTGAGTGATACGCTTTTACTCTACAGATTTTGCAATTATTGAATTCTTGAAGATTGAAAGCTGAATGGAAAATAATTATTTAATTGATATCCCTGAAACGCAGCTGTAAGCAGCTAATTGACACAAACTTTTTTAAACACGAGCAAACTAGTTCAAAACTGTTTAAAAACAAAGAAAATAATATTTGAAGATTAAGAATAAAATTACTAAATTTAAGAAAGAAGTGCGTTTACGCCAACGTGGGAAAAATTATTATACTGCGTGTCTTATTATTATACTGCAGTTCAACTTTGAAAATTTTCAAAGCATCTTTTAGGCGCATTTTACTCAAAGAGCTTATTCGAGCATAAAAAATTGATATATCTGTCATCTTCTAAAAAATTAGCATTAAAAAAAATTAAATTAATATTGTCCGGCAATAAAATTGTATAGCTTCACACAAATATTCAGACATGTTTGTTTTGCAACACTGCCAAGCGTTAAATATGAAATCGAATGCACATGTGTTTAGGTGTTTATGCATAATTACAGTTACATTATTTTACAAACATACATAAAGTTTTTTTGTTTTCGAATAAGATTTGGATGTTTGCTTATTACTTTAGGCTCGGATGAAGTTAGCTGTTTCTGTACTGTCTAGGTAAGTGTGTTTTGTGTGATTTGTTAAAAAAAGGATGTATGTATGTGTATTTGTGTGTTTCATATGTTTAATAAGTTTGCTAGTTAATTTATATATGCGTATGTTTATATATATACAGTAAAAATAGTGTAGGTATGTTTGTATATATAAGTATGTTGATGCGTATGAATATGTATGTTTATATACATATGTATATGTAAAAAATACTAAAAGTTGCATATAAAATTACGCAGCCTCTCTGGCACAGACAACTAATTTTTAAACTTCTCTGACATAAATGCGCTGATTAAGTTTATTTTTTGGTTTTGTAAATGTTTCAGCTTAATCTTAGTTTTAGTCACAGTGCTGACAAATACTTTCATTTTCTCGCTGCCTGTTGACCGGAAAATGCTTGTATATTCATCAACGCTTGGTTGCTAGTAATTGATTTAGGTTCATATGTATGTATGTATGTTTGAAGTAGTTAGAAAAAATTATAGCTAATCTATAAGTAGGGAAGATTTTGAAAAATATTGTTTTCGTTCATACATTTTAGTTAGTTTAGAGTGTTGTTTATATATGTATAATATTGTATATATATATTTTTTTTTTAGTTTGTTAAATTTTAAAGATTGTTTTAAATTTTTTTCATTGTTGGCAAGGAATTTGATTCCTTACACCATTTACGTACGCACAATATGATTACTACATTCGTGCCCTCAACGCGCCGCTGATAGTTTTACAAACTTAACAATTGGCTGAGTTTCACTTACATCATTTATTGTATAATCTTTTGTATTTTTTTTTTTTTGTTCTTTTGGATTTAATATTTTTGGAGATTTTTAGGTTAGGTGTTGATGACGTAGTTTTGGTGTTAACGAAATCTGCAGAAAATATTTTTAACTTGAAAAAATGTGTATTTGCATAATTGTTAATAATTGAGCACATATTTGTAAATTTAAAATAAATTTATAGGTTATAGTAAAAATACAAAATGAACTTTTTTTCGCAATTACATATTGGAACTCAAAAAGTACGCTAAATACTTACATTTTCTGCTTTATTTATTATTAAATGATTTCTAATAAAAAATATTTTTTTCATGCTTTGTAATATTTTAATAATTTGATTTTAGTCTAAAATAATAATAATAAAATTAAATATTTTACTTGAGTCCACAAATTAAAAAATTGTTTTAATAATTACTTGATTCAACAAAATACAAATTATTACAACTTTTCCATTAGGCAAGTTAAATGAAAATAGATTTACATATTAAATTAATAAAAGTGTAAAAAAAACATATTTTTTTTAAATAAAATAGTTAAATATTTAAAATATTAAAAATTATTATTATTAACTTTTGAATTAACAAATAAATATTTGTAAATAATTTTAAAATAAATATTTATATTTGAATTTATAAATATTTATTTTTTTAATTTAGTTTCATATTTATATATATAAATTTTTTTTTTTTGAAAAATGTTTACTTATTTGTTTTCGAACTGTAAAAAATTTAAAAAAACTTTTAACTTAAAAAAAAATTATTTGTAAATATCTTTAAAATAATTAATTATCGTTGACTTTATGAATATTTATTTTATTTCATATTTAAAAATAATACTTTTTTTTGAAAAATTTATACTTTTCTGTTTTTAAGCTTCTGTTGGATCAAACGCTTTTAATTTGGTTAAATGTATATAGAAAATAATAAACTTCCTTTAATTTTAAAATTTTCGGTTATAATAATATTAAAATTCAACTTGATTGTAACCATTTTTCTCTTTGGCTATTATTTTTAAACATTCACAACGAATTAATTATTATGCAATTATTTTAATTAAAAGAAGCCAAAACATATAAAACAAATATTTGTAATTAAAAAAAAAAAATTATTTTTTTTTTTAAAAAAGTAACAATTTAAAACCAACAATTTATTATTAATCTTTTTTTAATATTTTAGTTATTTTTAATCTTTTTTTAAACTAACGTATTTTTTTAACTCGGAAAATATCTTTTTAAATAAAATTTTAATTATACTAAAAATATTTTGTTTTATTTAGAAAATATATATTTTGATTAAAAATGTTTTGTTTTATTAAAAAGCAAAAAATATTTTATTAAAAAATATAAGAAAAATTTTATTTTAATTAGAAAATATATATTTTGATTAAAAATGTTTTGTTTTATTAAAAAGCAACAAATATTTTATTAAAAAATAATAAAAAACGGAAAAATTTTATTAACAAAATTAGTTTTAAATCCAAAAATAATAACCTTAACTCAAAATTTTTTTTTTAATATTTTGTAACTAAAATATTTTTTGTAATGTAACTATAAACAGAAATTAAAAAATTTTTTTTGCTAAAATTTTTTTAAATAAAAATATATACTTTTAACGCTGAAGATATCATTCGAGACTACATTCAAAAACTGTTATTTTTGCACACCTTTAATATTCACAATTCCCAAAATATTGACAGGCTGTACAATTTCTTTCCTTCAATCATCAGTAACTCCAAAACTACGCTTTATTTGTACCTCACCTTCAGAAAATGTGTATTTACAATATTACAACAACAGCAAGTGAACCTTGTCAACGAAATCCGTCCGCCGTTGCAGCTCAAACACCTATTATGTTACACATATAGTATTTTGAATAACCTGTTTATTTTATTGTGTTAATTGGCCTTGTGAAAGAGAGTGGTTTCCATTTGAACGCTTCGAGAAGTGTGCATAAACCAACAAATTAATTGAAGTAATACTTTGCGCCACCATTTCTTGCATCTTATGGCACCACTCGTGTTACTACACTTTTCCCTGTTTTTCTAATTCCGCCTGTTGTTTGCTCTGCTTGTGCACTTTGCTCGCTTAAGTAAATCACTCGCAAATTCACTTGCGTGAAACACTTTTCTATTTGACAACACAAACACCAAGTACCGTTACTGCGCCGAGCACCAACGTTCCGCCTGCACCTAGTTGATAGTTTACTTCTTACTCTTCTTCCGCTTGCTATTTTCCTCGGAAGACGTGGACTCCGCTGAGGTAGCTTTGGGATTGGGTGCAGCACCAACAATAACCTTGTAGTTGGGCTTCTTGCCGAGTTGTTGTGTGGGTGGTTGTTGTGGTGTGGCATGTGTCAGGTTGTTGGTGATGATTGGTGTGGAAGTGGTGGCTGTGGTCGTAGTGGTGATGTTGGTCGATGGCGTAACTGGAGTTTCATCTATAAACAATGGGTTCTTCACCTCCATCTCGCCCATTGGCTGTGTGTTTGTGAAACGAAAAAAAAAATATTATTTTACTCCATGCCTCTCCTACATACTAATTTTCTAAGCGAAATTTGATTTGTGTACACTCACCGGTGCGAGTCCGGGACATTCGTAGACAGTGTAATCGCCTTCCTCATTCTCCTCATCATCGCTCTCCACATCGGACATGCCGCAACTGCCCTCCGCCGCCTGACGATTCTCCATTGCGATTATTTGTTGCTTCTGGTGCTGATAGTGGTACATTTGTGCGCTTTGTGCTAATTTGCGATCGCCCGACGGTGAGATGTCTTTGTTGGGCCCGGTCACACCGTACGCCGGATATTCAACATCCGCTGCGGCTTTCGATTTGCGACGCAAGCTGCAATAAAGGCAATACAAACATACAATAAAAATAAACTCTCTAATGTACACAATCGTCGGTGGGACTTACGTGTACCAGGCAATACCGAGCGCTATCAGACCCACAGTCACAGCGGCGCTTACGCCCGCAATCAATGCCACTAAATACATGCCCATCTCGCCGTCGACGCCCAGATGTTGACGCACCACCAAATTGTCGCCGCTGCCGATGCTATTACCGCCTAAAGCTGCAGCCACATCGTGTGTGTTGACGATGGACGCGGATTTGCCCTCCTTCTGCAGCTTATCGATGAGCGCATTGATGTGGTGTCGTGCATTGCTATCATCACTGGCATCCTGTGCGGTTGGGAGCTTCATTGCCGCCACGACGCCGGCACCCGCGACCGCAGCTGCCGCCGCAGCGTTCTGCGGTTTGATGCGATGGAAGGTGGTGCTGCCACTGTCGCTCAATTTCGCGCTATCAACAGGTGCTGGCGCAAGCACAGGCGCTTTGACTTCAGTGGGCGCATCTGTCGAAAGCTCAGCATTAGTGGCGCTGGTGGGAGTGGCATTTGCTGCTGCAATAGCTGCTGCTTTGGCGCCAATATTCTGTGACTCGGCTGGTACAAATTCCTGATAGTCATCCAAGGCCCGCGAGTCCAACTCATCGCTGTTGCGCGCGTTTTCAACTTCGCCACTATTCTGTTCGAAGAAACGAGGATCGTCTGGACCCACTGCGAAGGGTATACGTTCGCGCAAATTCATCTCCATGGGTGTGTCATATTTGTAGGTAAAGAAACCGTTCGGGTCCACGTATTGATTTCGATTTCCATTGTCGTTGCTTCTATACACATTATCTTGATTTTGAGTCAGATCGTAGGCATTCTCATCGACTTCCGTCGATTCCATTTCAACCTCACCGCTATCCTCGTTGCTCTCCTCCGCATTCTCAGCGGCAAGCATCTGTAGGCGTTGATTCAAACGTTCGCGCCGCTCGTCGCGTTGTCGCTGCCGATTCATTTGCATGTGGATGCGCTCCAATTGTTGTTCGAATGTTTGTTGTAAGCGCCGTCGCGCATTCTCCTCCATTAGTTGGGCCAAATAATCGGATGACACATCAAACGGTTGTTGCAGAAATTGGCGTAACGGTTTGCGTCGAAGCCCTACAAGAGTAGAAATGTAGAAGATAAAATCGCTTGTATTAAATAATCGGCGGAGGGCAAATGAAATACAATAAGAACGAGGAAGTGCTTATGCTAATGGAACGCCGACGTGAGGGTATTAATTCTTGGTTGCTTTTGTGTTATTAAAATTTTTACGGAGGAAAATATTTGTATTTTTCCTTGAATCAACGTGAATTCTCCTTATTTCCCTCTTTTAGACTCTTTTTAACATCTAATATTTAAAAAATTTAATTTTGGTTCCTACCGTTAAAAGTTTTCCATACAAGAACTTCATTCTGATCGTTTAGTTTGTACGGCAACCGATATCGCTATAGTAGACCGATATCGGCGGTTCCGATAAACGAGCAACTTCTTGTGGAGAAAAGAACATGTGCAAAATTTCAGAGTGATATCTGAAAAACTAGTTCGCGTATACACAGATGGACATAGCAAAATAGAATCAGCTCATCACGCTGATTTTTATACCCTTGCAACATGTTGCTACAGAGTATGTTATACTAGTTTTGTTCACCTAACAGTTGTTTGTATCACCTAAAACTAATCGAGTTAGATTTATTTATTATTATTATATTAGGGTTATATAAATGATCGGAATGACGAAACGAAATCCAGCTGTCTGTCCGTACACTGGTTCCCTGGCATCCACGAAGGGTTTGGTATTGCAGATGGGTGGAATCAGACCATTACCACACCAACAAAACGCCATTAATCGAAACCCTATAAATTACCATAACTAAGCCGTAAATTTAGAGACAGAACTCAAATTTGGCACAACGAATCATATTGAGAAGAGCACATGGGATTTGAAAACTTTTGAAAAGAGGACATGGCCCCGCCCCTAATAAGTTTAATGTACTTGTATACCTATATCCCCCAAACTATTCAAGCTATATCACCCAAATTTGCACATAACAAGGTGCTGAAATCACATATCTCCGAATCTACTCCACCAATTTCAACCAAATTTGGTGCATAAGATTATTTAGACATTTCTATGTAACAGTACGAAAATAGGCGCAATCGGACAGTAATTACGCCTACTTCCCACACAACACATCTGTAAATTCCATCCAATTCTTTAACTTTTTAGTACACAAATTAAGCATTAAGGAATATATTCGGATAAAACTTTGCACAAAAAATTCCTTTGAGGTATGCTATATTGGAAATAGACGTCAAAATCGGACCATAACTGTTCAAGCCCCACATATCGAATATTTTGGAACCCAGTGCATATGGCTGACTTTTTACTTAATATGTCGGTCAATCTGCGGGATATGTCACTGAAATTTGGTGAAAATGTTTTTTTGATAATAATAATGAATAATATAAAATAATTTTTTGATAATAATCTGTGAAAAATGGGTTGAATCGAATCAATACTTCCCTTATCCGCCATATGCCTAATATAAAGATTTTTGAACTTCAGGTCCACTTTATACGACATATAGCGGTCAATGTGCTAGTTATTTTAATTAAATTAGGAAAACGTGTTCTTCTAATAAAAGTGTATCTTTGTACCTAAAATCGATAAAAATCGGGCGAAAACTTGCCTTAGCCCCCATATAACTGATATTCACGATTTTAAAACGTCCGACTGACTTTTTTGAAAAATAAAAAAGAATAATTTTAACCTTAAGCATGTAACTAAGAATTAAAAAAAGCGTTCATTCAAATCAAAAAGTAATATTTTAAATATTTAATCCCAAACATCTTGGATTAAAAAATTAAAAGTTAATTTTTAATCCCAAATTTTTGAATAAAAAAAATGCAACTACCTAAAATAAAGTTTTTAATAAAGCTTGTAAAAATACATTTTACTAAAAGCTTATATTTCAAAAAAAGTAATATGACTAAAATATGTTGTATACAGTTTTATAATTAAATGCATGTGGCAGCCCATAGATATGCACGTTTAACTTTTATTTAAAAACTAATCATCTGATGTTCAAAAAAATGTAATGGAAATTTTAATATTGTCATAAACTTTTTTTTTTGTTTGTTTGAGAATAAAATATAATTTAAGAATAAAATTAGCTTAATATATTTTTCTACAGGCATACTTTCAGGCGTACTGCATGAAAATCTGACAGTCCTACACCTTAAACTGTTGGTAGCGGAAAACAAAATATGAGAAACGGATTATCGCCATATAAAATTTAAGCACTCCAAAAAATTCACATAAAATGTCAGTGATTTGTGTGACTTGGAATGGAAAAAATTTGAAAAGCTTCAGGCCTTTTGATGTTCGCGCACATTCACAGAAACAAACAACAGACATATGTGTTTTTTGCGTCCGCATATGCATACATAGTCTTATCCCAGCAAATTAGTGCCGTTTTTGTACACTCACACATACATGCATACATGTACATACAAGTATGTCAGTCGCCTACACATTATGTCTAATAACTGTAAACATTTTAGTTATGCCAACATCAACATCAGTTGAACCGCGTAGGCGTTTTCGTGAATTCTCAAATTATATATATGCATATATGTATGTATGTGTGTGTATGCATGTGGAAATATATATTTTATAACATATTAGACAAGCTGATACGCTTTCAGACAAAGTTTTCTTTCAACGCCCACTTGAAATTTTACGCAACCTTTTGTATGTAATTGTTTATAACGAATTACCGTTTGAGAGAGGGAGTACTCCGTATTTCCATAGTAAAATAATGAAGGCACAGAGAATGGAAAACGCATGAATAATTACCAATGAAGCACGCTTGAATTTGAATGCCAACGGGATTTATTTGCAAATTGTTTTGATCTGCTTTTAATTTGAGAGAAAATTCTAAGAATTTACCAAAATTTACAAATTTCATACAAGAAAGGTTTTAAGTTAATAATGAAGACAAAAATGATTGCATCATTTAGGCGCAAAGTAGAAAACAATAGAAAATAGTAGTTAGCTACTTTGAAAATTTGTTCAAGGTCTTGGAAAAAAGCATAAATAATATAACACTGCGAAATGATTTTACAAATGTTTAAATTATTTTGCTTGGAAATATTTATTGCCCTAAATTTTTTTTATTGAAACCCACCAAAGTAGGTGTCGCAGTAAATACAATAATTTCCTTCAATTTCAACACACTGTCACTTGTAATTGGTTATAATTGAATAATTGCTTTGTAAGCAGTTAGCTAGGAAAGCGTGTTGTTAAAACTTTGAGGACTTATCACATTTCATGAACACATACACGCACAGGTGGATCTAACATTTTGAAAATAATCCCATGTGAATCCCAAAAAACACCGATACCCTGAACAGGGTTGCCACGAAGTTTGTAACACGCAGAAGTAAGCGCCGGAGACCCTATAAAATATGTATATAAATGATCAGCATGTCGAGCTGAGTCGGTTTAGCCATGTCCGTCTGTCTGTCCGTCCGTCCGTTTGTATATACGCGATTTTGTTCCTTAGTTTTTGAAACATCGATCTGAAATTTGGCACACATCCTTTTATCCCAAAGAAGCGGCTCATTTATCGGAACCGCCTATATCGGACCACTATAGCATGCAGCTTCCATACGATAGCTTTTACTAAGGAATCATGTATGCTAAATTGTCTTTCTAACTGATTCCGGAGATTTTAGTAGTCCATTGTAAAGCCAATTTTAAATATCTGATCAAATCATAATCGAATTGTCTCCTACTGAATATAGGTCAACGACGTATCGAATTTTCCATATTTTGTTATAAGCCTCCACTTGTTCTCACTATAGTTCTCTCAGTTTTTCATTTGATAAAATTAATCGATTCAAGGCCGTAAAGGAATTCGATGATCGGTAACGACAGAGACAAAAATTTATTTAGTAAGGTGCGACTACTGAATGTAGAATCAACAGTTACATATAATATATTGGCGAGGCTCTACAGCATTACTTAAATTATTTTTATATTTATATACGAAACAGTTTCAACTGTGTCAGTTCGAAAAATTATATTCAATTCTCAATGTTAATAATTTGAGACGAATACATCATCCTTCTGTTGCTTCTAAGAATATTAGCTAAGTATGATATTTAGTGTTTTATATAATACCATTATAAATTATTTATAATATAAATTTGAACAATTCTTTTGAATATTAATTAATTAACTTCATAAGATGGTATTTTTGGAGTTTTGATAAATAGAGCAGCAGAGATAATGGTCCATTATGTATATTTACCATACCCACAATTCAGTAAGCCACTAAATTCTTTGGATATAGAATAAAATGCACATAATATTATCTTTGAAAGAGGTTGAATATATATTTCAAATAGATAACGCTGTATGTTGTATGTTTTATAGATAAATATTGGTAAATACAGTTCGTTTTGGAATACGCCTTGTATATTTTACTTCAGCTATCCGTAAAATTGATCGACAGGCCTAGCGAAACACTCGTCACGCCATTATGAAAGTTTTGATATATACCTTTATCTAAATCTCGACTATTTTCTGGTTCCACATATTATATATAATCTTCGTTCGAATTGTTCATGTTGAACTCATAACTATGAAACTAGTTTTGCTGCTCGTAGCAGAGTAACGAGAAGCTACATCTACATTCCAAAGGCTCAAAGGAGAAGACTTGAAGAAATAGTGAAATTAATATTTCGCTATGTTAAATGGTTAGGTTTTTTAGAATCAAGAACAAGTGAATAGAGCACAAAACGGCATTCAACTTGCGTTTCATTACCTTGATTCCGAACCATCTGCATTATAATGAACAAACCCATTAGTTGATCAAGACCTAAATCCGAAGAGTAGACTAAACAATATCAATCAGCAATAGTTCTTGGAGCAGAAGAAACAAATCGAACTTCCCATTCAAGCAAATTTAGCTGGGCTCATATCCTGCCAATTATATTATAAATCAGATTAAGGAGAAGGTGAACTCGATCCAATATTCGACGTATATTCATATTTTTCATATAACAGGCATAAAATGCTTCATTATCATAAGGCAAAAAATCTAGTT